TATATATATATATATATCGCACTTTGCTGGATTACCGCTAAGTAGGCGTCGAAATCTAATAACGACTTTGCGAAATCCACTTGCAGTTAGGTTAGTCTAATATCAACTACTTACAAGAACAAACACGCACTAGACGCGTAGGCGTTTGATGGAAGACGTGATATGTGGATATAACAGATGAAATTGTGTGGTTATAATATAATATAACCCTGATTTTCCGGTAAACCGCGACGATTTGCCTGGAAGTTAAAGTTCTGTAAGCGGGGGCGGCATATTATTACTACGTTAACTGTAAGAGATCCGGGATGTTTGTTTAGGCAGAGCTCAAGTTTCAACGCCAATTTGGCTGTGGGATTGGGGGTGATATAATTCGAATAAGCACCCAGTTATATTTAAAATTTATTTGTGGCTGATAGTCCAGTCACTGAAGCATTTTGACTACCAATTTTTTCGGATGGAATGGATTGACGTGAAATTTGACCTGTAGCTAGGGAATAGTCCAAGACGCAAAAGTTATACAATGTCGATGTGTGCTTTTAGCCTAGGGGTAGATGCCACCCGTTCTGGAGGGTGGGAATTTTTTTTTATTAAAAATAACTTCACGATTCGATAGAGGAATGAATTCTAAGCAAAAAATGTTCTATATGAATTTTTGTCCAGTCAATATTTTTTTAGTTATTTGCGCCTAAACATGTTCGTTTTTAGCCCAAAAAATGCTTGTTTTTGAGCCATTTTTCGCGAATATCTTAAAAACTACAAGTTTTATCAAAAAAATTATCATAAGCAAAAATGAAGGTAATTAAATAGCAAAGAGATTGCTTTTTTATTTTTGTAGATGGTATAGAACCCGAGTTATGACTCCCAGAAGTTAGTCCTGTACGGAAAAATTAAAGGTTTTTCGAGGAAAACTTATATAACACTTATTAAAGTTCTTGAAAAGACCTTTAAATTGAGTGGTGGTAAAAGTCGTTAGCCAGTTTCGCCCTTCCACAAATAAGAACCACTTCTTATTTGTGGAAGGGCGAAATGGGCGTTGACTATTAGACGCCTTCATTATAGCCATCCTTGTCTATCACATGGATTTCTATGGCTTACTTTATCGCTCTCACGTAACTTCTGATAGACCATCGGTACTTTCCTACCCTGTATATGTATGTGTATATTCGGAAATTGGCCGAGGCCTCGAATTTAGGTTGGCATTAAGCGAGAAATTCTGTATACGCACAGGTTGGCAGCATTACTTAGACAAAGAGCATATGCTACATGAGTTTTTTGGGTGGCTGAAAAGTTGCAATATATCATATATCATTTGAAACCCAATAAAAAGTTTATAATTCAACATATGCATACCATTAAAACAAGCTTTCAATAATATTTTTTTGTTTATTTTATAATAACGGATGTTTTTAAGGGTTGCAACTTTGTAATAAGTCGTAAGCTTTCTAATGAATAACAAAAGAAATGCAATACATTGTGAATGCACCAAAATAATATTTTAAACTGTTAAAAACTTTTTTTAATTTTTTTTTGGCCCTGAAAGGGTAGTTTTTAAGGGTTTTTAAAGGTTGAAAGTAAATAAATTTCATAAATTATATTAAAAAACATGAAAGGAACTTTATCCAACATATTTGTACATGAATTTAATCTTTAAAATACGTAAATCTGCGATT